TTGATTTTTATTAAATTCTTTTTCCGATGAACGTAATACTTGAAAAACAAACCAAACCATATCATCTGCTGGTAATGATGAAATAAGTCTAAAAATAAAATTTTGTTTTTTTTTTAAATTTTTTATTTCATTCAATTTACTGTGGATCAAGTTTAGCAATTTTCAATGAAATACTATCACAAAGAATTCGAAAAGCAATTGAATTTGTATGAAGATCATTTATCGATCTTTGAATATATTTTGAAATACCATCAATACATTGTTGAATAATTTCTAGAAATTAAAAAAAAATATTTATTTTATCTTTATTTTTGTATTTTTACCATCATCTCGAAATGAATGAATACATTTTTCAATATATTCAAGTGTATCTTTTGTTTCATGAACATTTAAGTTTTCATTATTATTAAGTAAATCAAACATATAATTCAGTAATGGTTGCATTTGATCAGATTTTAAATGAAATGATGATTGATTTAAACTTTTATGTATTTGTTCTTGTATACGTGGAAATTGTGTTGATAATAAATCAATAATATGAATATTTAAACGTCTAACAGTTAAATTTTTTTGTTGAATCTGTTTTGATGATAATGTATCCGAACCTTGATGTTCATCAAATGGAAAATTTTGTAATAAATGTTTATGTATTAATGAAGATTGTTGAGCAATAATTGAATGAAGATCTGTATAATGTTGACTTGATAATATTGAACTCATTAAACGATGAAATATTCGCGTACAACACCATAAACATGATAATGCATCACGATGATGATGACGATCACCAAGATGTATACGCATTTCTGACCAAAATTGTAAAAGAACTTTTAAAAGTGTATCAATAACACGTGAAAGTATTTGAGAATCTGAACGAATTTGAAATACTTGATCTCTAAAATTCAGCGATTATATAAATTTTTAAATCACTATATTTTACTTACATAAATCTAAACGGTTTTAATTTTGTATTTTGTAATACATCAAATAATGTTTGCTGTTGTTCTTCATTTTGATTATTCTCTTTTTTATTTGGTTGTTCATCATTATATTTATCAAAAACGATATTAACTAATTGTGCAATACAATCAAGTAATCTAGCATGTCCACTATTACTTCCAGCTGTTGTTGTATCAATCGTACTAATAAATTGTCTTTCTGATCGACTTGTTTTCATTAATTGTTGAAGTAAACTTTCAAGTATTGGTAATGCATGATTTGTTAATAATGTTGATGAATATGATTGATGAAGAAGTAATTCAAGTACTGGTACTGATCGTTCACGAATATCATCATTTAAATGAGTCATTAAAGAAATTAAACGTTGAGAAATAAGTGGCATTAATGGATCTAAACTTTCTGTTGGTTGAACACGTGAAAATATTGTTTTTAAACATTGTAATGCTGATCGATAATGACTAACACTTTCTAATGAAATATATGATGTAGATGTATCAAGAAGTGATTGAAGTGATGGTAACCATGAACTAATTTCATCATTTTGTAAACGTGTTTTTAATGAATCAAGTACAGCTAGTTTTTGTGATAATGTACCTTTACGTAATCGAAGAATAATATCTTGTATACGTTCAGGACCTAAATCTTCACGAATTTGTTCACGTATAAGAATTGATTTAGATTGAAATTCTAATTTTGTTTCATTAAGACCTTTTGGACGAAGATTACCAGCTTTAAGTTTAACTTTTTGAAAATCTTTTTGTTGTTTTTTCTTTTTTGATATGCCTTTCTTAAATGTACCTTTTTCACCAGCTTTTTTGCCAAGTCCGGGTTGATGCTTTTTTCCACCCATTTTAGTTAATTAACTTTTTTGAAATAAGAAAAAAAAACAATTTGAAATCTATATTGAGAAATGGATATAAGATCAGATTGTCCAATAGAAGAAATAGTGTAGCATATCATATCATTGATGGAATTTTTAACTAATAGAATAATGCACGTGTCCAACTTTTACTGTCAACGTGACTGATTATGTTCTGTAGGGTGCATTTTTTATGGTGAACTTTCTAGTATAAAAAGAATCGTTTAAATACTTCCGTCTTAATGAATGTTAAATAGTCGATCGTACTTCTTTATTCTTAATAGTAAGAAAACGATCACGTAAGTGATTTATTAAAAATAAATTATTTTAAACATTTTCTTTTAGTAATTTATTGAAATTACAGTTGAGAAAAATAGCAATACAACCAATGGATGGAATTAAATTTGATAATTTAGCATTAAGAACTCTACCGATTGATCCAGTTGAAGAAAATTATGTTCGAACTGTTTCTGGAGCATGCTTTTCGAAAGTAAATCTCATAATTCATGAATTATATCTAATTATTTATTTGTAAATAAAGGTTAAACCAACTCCAGTTAAAAATCCAAAACTAGTTGCCTGTTCATTGGATGCTCTTAAATTAATAGATATCGATGAAGAACTAGCAAAAGTATGTAGTTTGATTTTATGTTCTCATTTTGAATATTTTCTGATTTATTAGAAAGAGCGACAATTAGCTGAAGTATTCAGTGGAAATGTTTTATTACCAGGCATGGATCCTGCTGCACATTGTGAGTTTATACTAAATATTTTTTGTTGATATTTGATATATTTAAGTACTATCTGAATTGTTTATTGTAGGTTATTGCGGTCATCAATTTGGCTATTTCAGTGGTCAATTAGGTGATGGTAAGTGAAGAAAAATCTCATTCATTAATCTTATATTCATACATATATTTTCATTAGGTGCTACAATGTTAGTTAATCGCATTGATTAAAATCATAATAATTTATATTATTTAGGTATCTTGGTGAAGTAATCAATAAAAAGAATGAACGTTGGGAATTACAATTTAAAGGTGCAGGAAAAACACCTTTTTCTCGAACAGCTGATGGTCGTAAAGTTCTTCGAAGTTCTATTCGAGAATTTCTATGTAGTGAAGTAAATTTTCCATCGATTAAAATAAATCATCTTTAATGTTGTCATTCTATAGGCAATATTTTATTTGGGTATCCCAACAACACGAGCTGGTACATGTGTTACATCTGATGATTATGTTATACGAGATATATTTTATGATGGTAATCCTAAACGAGAACGATGTACAATTATTACACGTATAGCTCAATCATTTATTCGGTTCGAAGAAAATAACTAAAGAAAAGTTTTCGTTTTATTGAATATAATTCTTTAGATTTGGTTCATTTGAAATTTTTAAAACGATCGATCCAATGACTAGTCGAAAAGGTCCATCAGTTGGACGAATTGATATATTAACAACTTTACTCAATTATGTTATATCAACATTTTATCCCGAAGTAAACTTTACAAAAGCTAAAATTCATCAACGTTTTTTTATTAATGTTTTATATAGATTCAAGAAAAACATAAATCAAATGATGAAGATAGATATGCTGCTTTTTTTGAAGAAATTGTTAAACGAACAGCATCACTTGTTGCTCATTGGCAATGTGTTGGATGGTGTCATGGTGTATTAAATACTGATAATATGTCTATTATTGGTGTTACTATTGATTATGGACCATATGGATTTATGGATCGTTATGATCCTGATTTTATTTGTAATGGTTCAGGTAAAATACAAATACATCAAATGTTTTTTTTTGAAATGTATTAGAAATATTTTTAGATGATAGTGGCCGATATTCATATAAACAACAACCAACTATTTGTAAATGGAATTGTGGAAAATTAGCTGAAGCTTTAGCACCACTTTTACCAATAGCAAAATCAAGATCAATTTTAAATAAATTTGATGATGAATTTGAACGTGTTTATATAAATAAAATGCGACAAAAAGTATAGTTTAGTATTTTCTATTTATAGAATTACGATTGTATTTATTTAGTTTGGTTTAATTCAAAAACAATTAGAAACGGATAAGTAAGTTGAAATAGAAACATTAAATTCTTCTATTCAGTTTTCTTTGATTAATTTAGAAATTTATTTGAAACATTTTTTAATACAATGCAGGAAACTGGTGCTGATTTTACGAATTCGTTTCGAGCACTTTCATTAATTCATTTACCAAATACAAAAGATTTTGAACAATCCATTCGTTTATTTATATCAACAATTTTAGACCAATGTTGTGATGCTGAAGAATGGAAATTTCTTAATAAATCATCTGTTGACGAAAGGTAATTATAAAATGAAACGAAGAAATGTATAAAACTAGATTGTCTTTTTCTTTTAAAAATAGAACATTTGGATTACTTCAACAACTTGCTGGTACTAATCGTTCATTATTAAGTCAATTTGGATTTAGTCCAGAATTACTCGAAAATGAAAGTATCAAAAGAGAAAAAGCTAAAGAATTAGAAGTATGTTGAATAATTTTAGAAAAAATGAAATTACGTTTTTTTTCTTTCGATAGAAAATGACAAATGAATCCAAACGAAAAGATGATGAAAAAGCATGGCGTACATTTTTAGCAATGTATATTGATAGATTGAAGAGAGAAATCGATGGTGATGTAGAGAAACTAAATGTGGAAAGAGTACGAATCATGAAACAAAATAATCCACGGTATGTAATGATCTTTTAATCTTTTGACTTTTTCGACAAAAAAAACATATTTTTATAAGAAATGCTTGGATACATATATGTCGCCGTGAGTTAAAGGATTAAATACTTTTTTCAAAATAGAAAAATATAAATAAATTTTTTCTTTCAATCTGTGTCTGTTATTCATATACTTCAATAGTCAATTTCGTTTTTTTTGTCACAAATGAACATGATAAAACTCATTAAATGTTAAATCAGTGACCTGTCAAATTTTCTCTATAATCAGTATTTAACATTCATGAACTTTATATATAGAATATTGCTCATGTTCGTGACATAATATCTCTCATAATAAATAAAGATAAAAGCCGGATATTCAATTCATTCATCTTCTAAGAACATGCGAACATCAATTTATAATACAATAATATTTTTATGTCTAGAATGGTTTTAAGAAATTATCTTGCTCAACGGGCAATTGATCAAGCTGAGAAAGATGATTATTCTGAAGTACGTACTCTACTTGAAGAACTTAAACATCCATATGATGGTAGTGATCAAGATACAATCCAGTTGCCAAAACCAGATGAAACAACAACTGGAGCAGAAGCACTACCACCGACAACAGACACGTCACAGAAACGTAAATGATTTCTTTGCTTCTAATCTAAGCGAAAAAAAATGAACTAATTTCATTTTTTTAGATGCTACTGGTGCTTGTTTAAAACCTACAATCTATGAATCGAAAGCACCATCAACTGCTTCTCGTATTCGTGTTACCTGATCTTCGTAAACGCCAATGATAGATTAATCATTGGCTATACTATTTAAATGAACACATCGATATTAATTGTCAATGATAATTGATTTGTCAAGAATCATATCTCGATTAGCATTTCAATTGGAATATATTAATAGAATGTGTTTGTTTTATGTATATTTTTTATTCTCGCATAAATTTGTCCGTAGTAATTATTTTTTTTTTCAAAACAAAATAAACAAGCTACTTTAATGATATAGTCATATGACCTGTTTTTAATTTTGTTGAATATATTTTTTTTAAAGCAAAAGACTGTTCGTTTTTTTTTTGATAAAATAAACTTATTTTGTACAATAAAAACAGGCAACCAACATGCATTGAACGATTAAAAACATGTGCAAAAAGAAAGCAAGACAAAAAAGAGATGAATTTGAAATGGAATGAATGGATTTTAGTCACAGAAAAATAGTCCCAATAGGAGAAAAGAATGAGAAATTTAACTATACAATTTCAAATAAAAATAAAATCACCGGTATATTGAACCGAGATCCAAAAAAAACTTGTTTCATTTTATTTAAAAAAAACTCTATATATATATTAGGGTGAAGTATTTTGTATTGATGTTAAATTTAATTCTTGATTGGAGGATTGTTTGTTATTATTATTATTATTATTAGATATTATCTCATCATCACTATTTGTTACAGGAAGAAATTCAGCAAATGAAACAACTGGACCTCCACTACCCCCCGGTGTTCGAATCGGTGAATTTGATAAAACATCGAAATTATTCATTTGTTTTGGTATTGTTCGAGCAATATCAGCTGAAAATGATGAACTCGCTCGTCTTGGTGCTACTTGAGATGTTTGTGTTGTAAATGAATTGCTATGAGTACGTTGATATTGAGATGATGATGGTTCACTATATCGAGTTGCTTTATTTGGACAAAAATATCGACATAACCAACATTGTGAACGACAACAACAAAAACGTCGAAATAGAACTTGACGAAATGCTCGACGTATAGCACGATTTGAAAAAGCATATACAAATGGATTTAACTTTAAATAAAAGACAAAATAAAATAAATCTATGTTTTATTATCTATTTAACTTACTGCTGAATTACAATAACCAAGCCAGAATGCTATTTTAAACCATGTTGATTCAGTATTTCCATCTTTAATCATACCATGATGTTTAAGTATTGACATAACAGGTAATGTAACAAAAAAATGGTAACCAACAAATAAGTAATGCACTTAATATAAGACCAAGTGTACGAAAAGCTTTTTTTTTCACGTTTAAGATTATGTAATTTACGTCTTATTATTAATAATTCGTCATTTGGAGACATATGTCCATTATGATGATGAAAATGAGGTACAAGCGGTTGAGAAGTACGTTTCATTGTTGTTGATATACGTTTACCAAGTGAACGACGAGCACTATTAATATGATGAGCAAGTGATGAACCTGAATGTATTGTATCATCATCATGAGTATTATTCTAAACAAAAATCAAATTAATACAATAAATTTTCAGGAATATTGTATTATTATTCTAAAAGCTCTTTCTAAATTGATTAAATCTTGGTATTAGTAACGGAGAAAATTAAAAATATTCTATTATAAATTTGACACTGATGATATATAATCATATTAAATAAGACAATATTCTTGTCTAGTAAATACTTCTAATTAAATTGACCCATTTTTATTACACTGATTGGATTTTTATACCCTTCAACCTTTATTAGTTTGTAGTACAAGTGCATATTTATGAAGTATTTTAAGAGGTTTCAATCCATTATTCTCTTAAGAATAATAATTGTAAATAAGAAAATAATGTCTTTATTTTTGTTGGATAATTTTACTACTATTAAAAAAAGTGCAATCTATATAATCATACCTTAAGCTCTGTATAATCTTTTTTTAATTGAGTTCCATCAGTTAATGTTAAACTATGATCAAGACTACCATCTTCATCAGGAGTCTTTCCATTACTTAAAAGTTTTGTGCCTGTTTCAATTCTATTAACATCAGGTATACTTGAATAAGATCGTTTAGATCTTGGTGAATGTTGATCATTTTGTCGACTATCTGCTGTTAATTCATTCGTATTAGCACGTTTTCGACGTAAATGTTCGGATGCAATTTGATAATCAATTTGAAACAGACGACGTTTTTCATTTTCTAATTTTTCTCCTTGTTTTTTTGCTTCCTGATAAACACGGGAATAAAGTATAAGAAGAATAATAACAGGTATATAAAATGATATCATCGATGAAAATATAGTATAAAATGTATTTTTATTAACTTTACATGTTTTAAAACGTTCCTGTTCTATACTGGATTCATTCGATTTTTTTTCTCTATCTGTTAAACCAAATAAAGGTACAACAGATGTTAATATTGATACAGCCCATACAACAATTACTAAATAAATTGTTCGTCGAGTTGTCATTATACCACTATAATTCAATGGTCTTGTTACACCAATATATCGATCTATTGAAATACCCATTAACGCCATAATTGATGCAGTACAACAAAGTACATCAAGTGCTAACCATGCTGAACAAAAACTCTCCCCAAATATCCATCGTTCATTGAGTAGTTCAAGAACAGATGAAAATGGTAATACAAATAAACCTAAGATATGAATCATTTATTAAAATTATAAAAGAAAAATTCATTTTACCAAGTAAAAGATCAGCTGTAGCCATATTAGCAATAAGATAAAAAGACGGTGAATGAAGACCTTTGTCAAGATAAAGCGCTAATAATACGAGTGTATTACCACCAACTGTAGCTAATATAAGTATAACAAAAGCAATACATGCTAATGGTGAAATTTCTGTAGGTTTTAAAGATACATTATTTGTAGCTGTCGTTGCTTGTTCAAGGAATGATAGTGAATTTGCTGCTGTTGTACTAATCGATTCACCAATCGTTCGTGTAACATTATAAGTAAAAATAACGTGAGGTAGGCTGTGTAAAATATTGCTAGACATCGTCACATCATTGATTTTTCTGTCGTGAAAAAAATCTCATTGTATTACAACTATTGAATATAAATAAAACATCATCTAGAAAATAATTATTTTTTTTATTCATGTAGAAAATTACGAATAATTTCAGAACAAAAGAAAGAAATGAATACGTAGGATTAATCATTCATTTTTTCAATATGATTATTTTACCTGGCATTCATTTTTTTTCGTCATATATATTCTTATAGTAAAATACAACTACATCCTTCTAATGCAAGAATCGATTAAAATATGTAAAACTCATGTCTTATATTGTAATTTCTTTTATAATACTATCTTTCTTTTGTGTTCTGTTCATCATCATCATAATGTTCGGTCTATTAAAACAAACGGATGTTGCTTTTCTTTCTATCAAGATTAATATGTTCTTTTCCTTTCTCTCTTTCTTTCTTCCTATACTAATTCATGGGTTAGAAAAATTGTTTAGACTTGATCTCTTTATTAAGATATATCACACATTACAGAAATCAAATAGAAGGATCTTCGATGATGGAAATCTCTCGTAAGATGTGACGAAGCGCAGCAAAAAACAAAACTGAAAAAAATAATCAAATGACATTTCTGTCACCCTTTCAGATGGCAATTAGAGTTGGCTTAGTATGGCTGTCTAAACAACATTTTTCTTTATTTAGTTTTACATTCTATAGTCTTCAGTATATTTTAATCGGATTTTTGCATGAATAACTAATTGTAGTTAAAATAGAAAGAAACCATACATATAATTATATATATATATGTTTCCTATATTAGGATTTACAACTTTAAATAACTTACACTCATTCTTTTCTCTTCAGCGTCTATGTATTTAATTGATTTTTCTACATATCCTTGATATCCAATATTTAGTAAGAATAATTACTTTGTTAATTTTATCAAGAATAACACGGTTAAAAAAACATACCTATTGAAAGTAAAACTGGAGATGTCTAAGATATTTTATTTTCTAAAGTATAATTCATCTCAAAATAGCAGATGTCGAATACTCTTAAATTAATAGAAAAAGAAAAGAAAAGATGATGTTTTATTGGTTGTGTTTAAGAGACAACAGATACCTAAATGTTTAACGTGAAGTATATTGCCTCTCGGAAAGGAAGATGGAAGAGTAAGCAAAATAAAAATACAAGAAGTAATAGTCGAAGTGAAAAAAAAAAAAAGAAAAGATAAGTTATATGATTGACATTAACAACAAGTAGAAGAAGAGTGAGTGTGAAAAAAAAGAAAGAACGAGCGCAACGCAAAAAGAAAAAACAAATGTCGTCTGATCACAAGAAGAAAGTAAGAATCGATCTAATCAATCGACAGTGATCGGCGGCACGAACACATCAGATCATAAAACGATAAAACTAGTGAGGGCAAAAACGAGCCCTTTCGTAGTATTCATTTACCTTTTTTACGAGTATGGATACTATTCTTTCCGAAAATCAGTAAAATACTCCATAAAAATAACATAAGGATGCAAGAAAGAAAAAAAAAGAGATACAAGAATCTCATATAACCAATATTTTGCCGCATTCCGTTCTATACATGTGCGTCGACACACTCAACAAAATTGATACTAAATAATAGTGTTGCTCTTCACCCATCTGTTAGTTTCTTTTTAAATCGTCACATTGTTCTATTTGGCCTCTAACGATCGGCTCATATTTCTATTAGTTTTACTCATATTTATTACTGAAATGAAATTAAATACTGATATATTTTATTATCATAAAAAGTGTGCTTGATTTCGCATAGTCATATTCTGTAATTCTTACAATAAATTGATATTACGAGCTAACACGCAAGAAAAAACCAATTATTTAATTTTATAGTCCACTCATACTATTATAAAAGGAAAAGAAAACAGTAAATTTTCGTTTTTTTTTT